ATAAAAGAGTGACGAGCCCGCTGGCAGGCAGCTTTGGCAGAAATGCAGAACGATATGATGCTGTCGTCGTCGACCGATGAACAGTTGGAGAACGAAGGAAAGGAACGACGAATGGACGAGAGAAGGAGAGTAGGTAAAGAGGAGGAGGAGGCTAGCGAGTGGGTGGAGGTGTAGGAGTGGAGCACAACGGGAGAGGCACAGGAGTTGGAACCTCCACCAAGGACAGCCTCGAAAGCCGGTACCTGGAGTGTCATTCTAGGGCCTGAGATGCCCTGCTACAGCGACAGGACTCGCTGTTCTCCCAGCGGACTAATGCCTGAGGGGCCGTCCAACACAGGCCCAGACAACCAGGCCAGGGGCGGGGGGTAATGACCACTCATGGATCAGGTCAGGTCCCGTCCATCCCAGACAATGAATGAGCCTTGCTTTAGTTAGCATAGCTCTTAACCGATATCTCAATCAGGGGATTCACACGGAGCGAGATGGAGTGACACCAGGTTGAACCATTGGATTGGTGGTCAAACCCTTGTTCACTTCCAGACCCCTTCCAAGGTCTTCTCCAAGAGAGATTAAGGTGGGCATCCTGCTGGATCCATGGAAAGGGTTTGCAACGAGGCCGTGGTCAGAGCAGAAGAAAAGAATCTCGTCATGGAAGCCCTGTACGATGTTCAGTGCACAAGCTCATTATTAGGTCCGTTGCTTCTGGTGAACGAGGCATTGGCCGCATTCCCACAGACAGACAACAGTCAACAACAACCAAGTCTCTCTCATGCAGAGCAATCCGAAAATCAATAAATCAATTAACAAAACTCAGTTATCAACCGTTTAATTTCCAAAAGTCTCTTTTTGCCTCGCCACCCCGTTAGCGCCCGCATAAAAAATCACCAGTCACATCGAGCAGCAGAACCCAAAGGGAAGCATCAGCATGCGCCTGTGGGTGCACAACCAGGTACAATCTCGCATAACCCAGATGCACAATCGACCCCTGGCCAGTAAAATCACAAAGAATGCATTAAGTTATGAGCGCTTCATGCAAGGCACGCGAGCGGCAGCCAGGCTAACCCCGGCAATCATGTGGAGGCTCGGGACCAAGACCAGCCAACGGACGTCATGGAACAGCTCTGCCTCTGACAAGACCAAGCCCCGAAGAGGAAAGTAAATAAAGGGGGAGAAAGCCTCCCCGCCTATCCGCAGTGGCGTCAGGGGCTATATCATGTCAACTGAAGTGGCTGCTGCAGGTACGCGGTTGAGAGAGTTCAATAGATACGGTGCTCTATCTATCGAGAACGGTCTCGATGATCTTGGACGGAGTCATTCGAGACAGTGTCAGTAACAACCCGAGAGCGTATTGTCCTCTCCCGTTACCGGCCAACTGGATGAGACTGTCATCCTAGGCAAGACAAGACAAGAAAACAAGGCAAAACAAGTGACAAGCCACCTGAAATGAAAGCGGAAAAACACTTCTCACTTCGCAACCACAGTCAAACTTGATATCAATCACACCGTCTGTTTCCTGGTTTCAACCCCTGGCTATCAACCTAGCCCCAAGTGGCTGCTCGAGATCGCCAACTCCCTCATATCAAGATGCATATCGCCGGTGTCACAAAAGCTGAATCGTTCCCACGTCAGAATTCTTGCATTAGGATCTTGGCTTATCGTGGGTCATAATTTTAACCCTCACCCACTATGCGCTGTCTAGTGCTGAGATATGCATATTGCCCTCATCTCCGTCACCGATATCCTGCTGGCTTATTATTAGTATTCAGCTTGCCGACATACGCACGCACAAACATTGGAGAGAAAAAAATCTTGAAATGGCTCAATTTTGCAGGAATTACCAATCGCTCGCCTACGTCAATATGGAGCTTGTAATTTTGATTCGGTGACTTCCGCCGCGTGCCATCTCACGGCATATCACATAGATCCGCCGGGGAAGCCGGATGATTTATTATTAGGTAGTTGAGCCGTTCACCAATATTAGTCAGGACGATCAAGCTCCCTTACATGCGAGAGACGAGGCTATCACCACTCTTACCTTCACATGTTGCAAATATGTACTCCTTACTGCGGATTGTTTTGAACTCTGTTTTGCCCTGCCTTCGGCCCGTTCACCGTCATCCTCGCTATTATCATACGAAAACATCAACATTGGGTTTCGTCTGATCCAATGGCGGTCAGTGTTTGACAGGCAAGCTAATAGCTTAGCATCCATGGATATCCATAGCAGTTCATATCGGAATCAAGGTCTCCCTTGACCAGCCAAGGCTTCCTCCAGTAATGTCATCTCACTTTTGTAAATCAAGCAAATGATATTTTCACTGTGGGGAAATGCCTCACACCTTAACCAACATTGCTATCCTTGATCCCGAAGCTTTGAAACCGCCATTCATATACCATCCCAGTTATCCCCGGCCTGGCAGTTTCACATATCGATGGCCCCATTTCCCTTCATATCCAGCCCCTCACCCTCTCCGATCTGTCGTGATTTGGTAAAACTCTGGCGCATATTCCAAGAGCCATCCTTTCTCGATCTTGGTGACATCCCGGATGAATATCTTGCTACCCGTCTCCATTGCTTCATGGAAGATGACCCAATCCGCTTTGCGGTTGAACATTAGTGAACTTGGATGTGCGTGAAGGACCATGTTGCCCTCCACGTTGCGAAACGTTCCGTCTGGCTGCATCCTTGCTGCGTGGGCAAAGTAGCCCGATGTAAGACAACGGCGGATCTGTTCTGCTTTTTTGACGTTCGCCTCCAGTGATGCTTGTCCAGCGAGTGTCTCGTCTATATTAATGCTGAATCGCTCAAGATACCGCTTTAGTTGAGCTCTGATACTGACTGCTCGACTCATGGACTTGAAGTTGAGGTTGTTCTCATGACAGAACTTTGCTTCTTTTCGTCCCTTTGTGACAAAGGCTTGGTAGGCGTTGAGGAGAGTCAAATGGTCACCTTCATCCACGGCGAACTTTCTGCGTGATGTCTCCATCTTCTTTTTCTCGCCTTCGTGAGAGAACCATACACTGCCTCCGAGACTGGTCATTGCCGCGATTGTAAGCATTTCGCTGAGGCATCCAAAGGACGGTGCTGCTAGGAGGGTTTTCGCCATCATAGGCTCAACGGCCAACTCGGCCATCCTTGAGCCCATAGGTCGAGTGAGCTTGGCATACTCATCCAAAGCTCCTAGAGCATACAGCAACTCAAGAGCCTTGGCCATGAGTTCAGACGGTGGCGGGGATAGAAAGTCGAACCGCACAATATTATCTATTCCCAAAGCCTTGAGTTGCAGAATGACAGGTGCCAAATTCGACCTCTGAAGCTCAGGGACATTGGCATCTGGCAGCGATTGGTAACTCTGCTCAGTATAAAGTCGGAAGCATTTTCCAGGTTTTGTGCGACCAGCTCGTCCAGCACGTTGCGACGCGGCTGCTTTTGATACTGCTGTAGCAGTGAGTGATTCTATGCCAGTTCTTGGGTCATACGCCCTCAGTTTTACGAATCCACTATCCACCACGAAGACAATTCCATCGATCGTGACTGATGCTTCGGCGATGTTCGTAGAAAAGACAACTTTTCGTGTGCCTTCGGGCAGCTTGTCAAAAACATACATTTGCTGTTCGGTAGACAAGCCAGCATATAATGGCAATGGCATCAAGGGACCGTGTTTTGAGCCAAGATCAAGCATGCGCTCGCTGACTGCTTGAATCGCATTGTCGATTTCCTCTCGGCCAGTCAGGAAAACTAGGATATCTCCTTCGCCCTCTTGGGTGTGGATATCAAAGACCACGTCGACTGCTTTCTCAACATAGTTCTCTGCCGGTGACTCCAAGTAGAGTATGTCTATTGGGTATGTTCTTCCTTCGAGACTGACGATGGTCCCGATATCATCCTTTTTGTCTGTTTTGTTTGGCTGATCATCACTGCTCCTTGTGAAGAATTCCAGGAACTCCTTAGCTTGGAGAGTGGCACTGCTGATGATGATACGCAGCTCGGGTCGCTTTCGGCGAATCTTCTTCAGTAGGCCCAACAAGACATCAGTGCTGATAGACCTCTCGTGTGCCTCATCAACCATAATAACCGAGTAACGCGTCAGCAATGGGTCGACGAGAGCTTCTCTGATGAGGAGGCCATCTGTGAGAAACTTTATCTTTGTTGATGCCGAGGTCACATCCTCGAATCGTATTGAGTATCCGACTTCTTTGCCAAGCTCACAACCGACTTCTTCGGCGACTCTCACTGCAACTGTGGTTGCCGCGACACGACGAGGCTGAGAAACGTCAGCTTGTGTGGTGACATGGTTTTGTGTTTACTTACCTGAGTGACGCCAATGATCTGCCCACCTGAACACCATCCTGCTCGTTCTAGGAACTGAGGTATTTGCGTTGTCTTTCCCGAACCAGTTTGGCCTATAACAATGGTGACTTGGTATTTTTCAATCACATAGAGTAGACTCTCGCGATGTTTTGCAATTGGGAGCAAGGCTGCTGGCTTATGAAGAGCCGGGATAAAAGCTGCATCTAGATCCAGGTCTGCCATCTTGAATTGGCTCAAACAATTTCAGTAGATTTAGGACCCTTTTTTTCTTAAGATCAACGCAGAGCCTCTCATGCCATCTGTGTGTTTTCCCCTCTATGTGCGCACAAAACTCAGCTTGTTTGAACACGATTCATTTTGCGTAAAGCATTATGGTCAAAGTCAAGCTTCATGAGACGCATGAAAAGTTACCCTAGACTTGATACTGCTGTCAGAGCTATAGCCAATCAGAGCAACTTCCCCATTGAGAATGCATTGTGGCGAGTGGGTCAACGTCATCAGCTTCGTGTAGGCTGATTGACCCCTCGCGCCTCAACCTTAATATCACAAGCAGGGCCAGGCTGAAGCGAAATCCCCAATTTCCCTGGATATTGCCCATCTTTCAACCGACTTCTAATCGAATCTCGACTGTGAACTCGTGATAACTTCAGACTGAAAGTAAATCATACCAACGACAAGTGCGATCAGGATGTCAGCCCCTGGAGAAACGGTATACTACTACTCCTTTCGAGAACTGTCTTAGATGACTGATGGTAGAGGTTTTGTGCTAACATGACTTCTCCTACCAGAACAAGGCCACCGCCGAGAGCGGACCTGAGTCGCCTACTACTGCGCAACCCCTTGATCTCGATGATGATGATGATGTTCAGGAATCTGGCGTTCTCGATAGCAACACTACACCCGCTGCTGCGACCAACACCACTACCACCCAGGCTCAGACTCAGGCACCACCACCCACAAACGAGACAGCGCCTCCTAAGCCTCCCCGACCTGTTTCCGAAGCGCAAAAGAATGAGACTATACTCAAGGAAGCTTTCCCTACTGTAGAGCTGAGTGTTATCAAGGCTGTGTTGAGAGCTAGTGGTGGTCGCGTTGAGCCTGCGTTCCATGCTCTCTTGGGTACGCTTACACAAACTCTGACTAGAGGGCACGATAAACTGATATACGCATAGAGATGACCGATCCTGATGCTGCGCAAAACGAACCCGCCGACGAAGTCCCCCCGCCTCAACCCCCTAGGCCTCAGAACCGAACTCAGATGTCGCAATTGGAGGCAGACGAGCTATATGCACGCCAGCTTGCAGAACACTACGACAATGTTGGTGCCTACGAGTCGCGCACTGCCAACCGAGGTCAAAGGCAGGGTCAGCGAGGTCAGGATGAATGGGGTGACGACCGTGAGCACAGCTTCATTGACGATGACCTTCCTGTTATTCGCGAAAACCTACGCAAGGGATTCTTCGAGACACAGGAAAAGGTCAATGGATGGATTACAAACATCAAGAAGAAGATCGAGGAGAACTTTGATGAGAGTGAAGAGCAGACGCAACGACAAGGAGAGCCCTTCCGTCGTCCCGGAGAGTCCAGCAGGCGAAGCGGTGACTATGACCGATATGATGCGGATCCCCAAGTTCTCAGCGATGATTTCGCTGGCATGAAGTTTTCTTCTGATGGAAGTGAGTACTGACACCTGTATTGTTGAAGCAAATGTTAACAACTCGTAGCTCCCGTGAACCGACCCATGGCCAATACTGGCATGTACAAGCCCCCTCCCCCATCGACTTCGCCTAAGCCTAGCAACGGCCGACGAGTTGGTTTCAAGGAGGAGACCGAAGAAATCAATATGTATGACTCTTCACCTAGAGTGCCACCCAAGGATGCAGCTCCCGCGATTGGCACAAGGGGAAGCAAGTGGCAGCCCATGTCGGCGGTTGAGCCAAGCCCTATCGCAGAAAACGACCCCTTTAGTCTTGGAGATAGTGAAGATGAGAGGGAAACACATCAGAAGACCAAGGACGACAAGACTGATGACAGTGATCGCTTGAAGAAGGCTACTGCTGAGGCAATGGCTGATAGCCTGAGCGAGTCTAAAGACACCGAGGCAAAGAAGAACTAGATGGTAGCAGATTGACGTAGACCAGTCGTTCAGATCTTGAAAGAGGGTGGAAATCATGAAGACGTAGTCGAGAGTCATGAGAGCACCATAGTCGAAGAGTTTGGTGCCACTCTCGCTGTCATAGCAAACATGGGTGGTCTGTTTATGGTTATAGCTCCGTATCGTACTTCACGACGGTTCAGTAGGTAGCATATAGTAGCCTTTCTTTTCCTGGTTTTGCATACTCTGCTGTCCTTCCACATTGCGCATCATGACCCGTGTCCGTTCTAGAGTGACGATATCATGAGGCGTCGGCGCGGACTCGGTGTTCGTTCCTTGGCTTGCATAGCATATCCAGTTCCGTAGGACACACGACGATAAGAGCTCTCACATAGTGGGTTTTTGTGTTTGCCCAACCAATGTCAACAGTGACAGGCATAGAGCAAGCCTGAAGATTATTCATTCCTTACTCATGAACTAGGAAACGGAGACGTGCCTCGAGTCGTGCAAGTCCTTATGGTGATGGAGCTGAGATGGGGAAAATGACATAAGAAATTTCCCAGGAGCTGTATAGTCACTCCCTCTTGAGTCTGGAGCCTCTCGAGACCCCTTGACCCCTTGCTCCATGACGTTCCGTCTCGGCTTTACCAATGGAAACAAGGCAGGTCATTGAAATCATTATTGTAACGTAAGTGGAAGAAGTACGCGCGGAGAAACACCCGACAGGTCCCGTTGCGATGCACAGGAGACAGGCTCGTGCATTGCATTGCATCGCACAGCTAAAGATGGAGATATGACCCGGAGCTGTGAGCCGGACCGCCTGTCGCTCGAGCACGGGGTCGGATACGGGACGGTCATTGGATGTGCGGATCGTTCAACGGACGGCTTGAGATTAGCGGATGCTTGTTCGGGACCTTATGCTTGATGGTAGTGTATCTTCCGAATAAGGGCGGAGTGGTGGTGGTTTGTTAGGGGACTAGCTGGGCGGAACAAGTCACCGACTTGAACTTTTGAATTGCCCCGCCATGCTGGTAACGTCGTGGGACCATAAGAGTCGTGATCGAGTCGAGAAAGAGGAGAATGAGCAAGTAAAAAGGAAACTATTCAAGGCACGAGGTCATTTACTGCTTAGACCCAGGGAGTTCAGACGCTATAAACAGCCAATCTATGTCATTTCATGTCCCCGCTTCTTTCTTTTTGGTGAATGGTTCCATTACCATTTTGGTTGACCGTCTCGTTGCAAGAGCCACTCACTGGGCTGAGCTAGGTTGTGCTTTCCTTTACCTTAGAGCATCCATAGAGGGGCAGTTTTTTGGTTCCCATCAAGTTCGTCTTTTGACATAATAAAAAAACACCATCACCACGACGTTGATTTTATTCTGAAGCCTTCTCTTGCCAAATACAATTAGAGGTCTTCCTATTGGAGAGAAGAGATTGTTGTTGTTAAAATCACTTGCCGTTTTTGAACACGCCTCGGTTCCACGTCACGTCGACTTGAGTCAACTTACGGTACTCAACAATCTTAGCCAGTCCAGCCTCGTCTCAGTGGACTCTGCTCCCTTTCAAGGCTCGACATACAACGAACAAGGCCCTTTGACAGGCCTGGAACAATCAAGGAATACTATTGATTTGACTATCGGTCTGTGCTTTACTGACTGAGTCTTCGAGAGCAAGTGCCTCGGCTTTTGGTGAGTGAGGATCTCCAACATCGTATCCAATCCAATCCGATTCAACCCTGCCTTACCCTTCACTCTCATAATTCTAGCGAACCCTTACCCATAAACTGCATCTCGTTTCCATATACACACACTTGGAGGCCACGCTATTCGCGAGCGTTTTTTCGTCAGCACTTCACGCCCTTTCTCACGCCGCTGGCCCAGCCAAAGTGATGGCATAGACTTTGGTCAAGGTACCCCCCCACGTGCCCTACAGGAGTCGATCTCGGACGTCGTCTAAGGATAACCGGGCTGTCGGGTGATGGGTCAAGGCCCAAGCAAAGACCCTGAAGAAACCGGGCGTTTATCGTGTGTGTGTCACTCTATACATGACAGGCTTGTGCAAGAGAGGAAAAGAGAAGTGGAATTACTTGGAAAACAAGTGGTTGCTTGCGTTGCTGTGAAGAAACGGGACGCATCCACAGGGTCTCAACTCACACTCCACCGGGGCTCTTCAACAACTCTGCCTGGTCTGGTCTGGGCTGAGCTGATCTTGGTCTGACTTTGACATGCACCTTTAATGCCTGGCCATCTTTCATGTGCATCTTTATGGAGCTTCTCAAAGACGCCTTTCCTTGCTCTGGTCTCTGTCTTGCTTGACCTGGTCATGTCTCCGCTGCTGGCTGTTCTCTATTTCGTTACCTACCTACCTACCCTCCCCCTCAACACTGCACTGTTGCACATACACACAAAACACACGCAAGATACCACACGGACGCTGTAACTGACACTGAAACTCGCATATTTCAGCCACACATCCTCGCTCACTTCTCTCTCCAAGCAGCGATCGCCCAAGTCAGCCATTCCTTGTCACCTATCCGCTTCCTCGTCTGCCCTCTAAGTCACCAAGAGCTCCCGCGGGCGCCCACGCCGCAACATGTAAGATATATCCGTACTTCCTTGCTCCTTGTTTCTACGTCGACAGTTGTCCAGCTCGCAGTGGTTCAGGGACCTTTCAAGAGCCCACTTTGAGCTGGAAGCTCTTCACAGACGAACGACAACTCCGCCGTCATGGCCTGTACTATGAGCGCATAGCTTACTCACATTCTCCTATAGGAAGTTTGGCAAGCAGATCCAGAAGCGTCAGCTTGAGGTGCCCGAATATGCTGCCAGCTTTGTCAACTATAAGGCCCTGAAAAAGGTACGCCCATGTCATTCCCGCCGCTTAACCTTTCCGTTCCTGCCACCGAGAGCCCCGGCGTCCGTCCATCTACCGACTCCGCTGTCATCTCCCACGCTGCAGTGCTCGGTCCACTATCACTTTTTCCAAGGCCCTTACAATCCTTCCTCTTCCAGTTGCTCGGTCTGCATTTCTCAGCTCTGGTTGCCAGCTGGCTTCTAAGTTTCCTAGTCGTGTCCCTGCCCTTGCCCTTGCTGTTCCCACTGCTGTTCTGGGCTATCATTCTCCGAGTATATGCCCTGCTTCATTCGCAGACCCCATCGCCTTGGGTATGAAGTATTGCGCAGTGTGACAGTGACTGGCCAAAAGCAATTCCTTGTTTTCCATTCGCCCTCCCCTACACATCCACGTTTCTTCATCGCCACCATATTGCATTTCGACCAACTCTTGAGACTTCTTCCACTGACGCGCTGCCATGTAGCTCATCAAGAAGCTGTCTGCAACCCCTACCCTAACCTCGCAGAACGATGTTCTCCGCTCAGCCACCCCCGTGGATTCCCAGGCCGCTCTCCAGGCCAATAAAGCAACCTTCTTCTTCCAACTGGTAAGTTCACTCTGGTGTTACGTCTTCGTCATGAACATCCCGACATGGTTGCTAAATGAGGAACAGGAACGGGAACTCGACAAGGTCAACGCCTTCTATCTGCAGAAGGAAGCCGAGGTTTGTATCACGTCCGAAACATAGTAATGACACTTGAAACTAACATACCTTAGCTGAAAATCCGCCTCAAGACGCTACTTGACAAGAAGAAGGTGATACAGTCTCGTCATGGCGTCTCTCGGCGCTCAGCAAAGTTCACTACCCTCGAGGAAGGCTTCCAGCAGTTTGCCACCGACCTAAACAAACTCCAACAGTTTGTCGAGATCAACGGTACTGCTTTCTCAAAGATTCTCAAAAAGTGGGACAAGACATCAAAGTCCAAGACAAAGGAGCTCTACCTTTCAAGAGCCGTCGAAGTCCAGCCATTCTTCAATGCCACGGTAATAAGCGAGCTTTCTGATCAGGCCACCACAAGTCTACAAGAGCTTGGTGCTTGGTCGGATGGAATCCAAGTCAACTTTCAGTCAGGGCACGTGGTGACCTCGCAGCATTTCGTCGGTACTGATGAAGGGGACGCAGACACACTGCTACTTGATACTGTTATCACAGGAAATCTCGAGTCCCTGAAGGATCTTCTTCAACGGATGCGCTCCGCCAACGACACCGGAGATGGAGATAGCTCGTTGATGGAAAGGCTCACGCGGACCTTCTTGGCAGCCATCTCAGAAGCTCCACAGGAGTCCCTGCGAGTCCTACTCGATACAGGTCTCGTTGATCTCCACTCTTATGATGATATCAATGAGAGAAATTGCCTGCACCAAGCTGCCATCTATGGGAAGCAGTACGTCCTGGAGTGGGGCTTGTCGGTCAATGTTGTTGTGGATAGAACGGATGTCTACGGCCGGGTTCCTCTGCATTATGCCAGCCTTCACGGAAGGTTGGAAATGCTCAAGGTCCTCTTGGACGGTAAGTTGCTGAATAATATTTGCGCGTTGATTTACTTGGCTGACTACCGTGTAGCAAATCAAAAAACCATCGACCTCATTGACCACGACAACTTCACACCCTTGATTCACTCTATTATACACGGACATCTCGACTGCATCGAACTTCTCCTGGCTAGATCTGCACGTATAGACCCGTTCTCTGATTCCGATCATGTCCCCTTGAACCTCGCTTGCGAACATGGCTCGGTGGCCGTGGTTGAGATGCTGTTGAAGCATGGGGCCAAGATCTTGCCTGATGCTGAAGGCCTTTACCCTCAGCATCTTGTAGCGAGAGCTGGCCAAACCTCAGAACTGCTCCTGCTCCTCAAGCAATACGGCGCTGATCTCGACCAAATTGATAAACTTTATGGATGGACACCGCTGGTGCATTCTGCAAGCGAAGGCAATGTCGATTGTCTTCAAGCACTACTCAAGGTTGGGGTCGATGCAAGCATTGTGGATGAGAAGGACCTTCCAGCCATGTACTATGCTGCTTGGGAGGGACACCTTGCTTGTATGAAATTGCTAACCCCGTTCAACACACGCCCACGAGCCAGCCCCTTCATGGTGCAGCCTGCCTTGGGTCCTATGGATTCAAGTACTGCGCCTCTGCCCATGTCTCTTGACCCCGATGCGATCCCCGAACTCGAGCTTCCTCCACCAATCATCCCTCTGCGCCGATACGGACACAACTTCCTCGACACAAAGACAGTTGTTCAGATCTCCTTCGGGGAATTCGAGGAACAGCCCCTTGTCTTCTTCCAGGACGGAAAATACCCTGCGGCTCGCCTCACGATTTCTTCAAAAGTTTCAGATCTTATACCGAAGAATATCATTCTACCTTTCCAAGAAGACACTCGTATCGTATCTTTCCAGGTTGACAACTTGGATACTTTCAGCCTCGATATCGATGTGTTCCCCACATATGGCGCAAAGGTTATTGCCAAGACGGTCGCCCTATCAAGCATCTTCAAGGGATTACAGGGCTCTTCAGCATGTTGTTTGCCATTGTTTGATCCCCGCCTTCGCGCCATTGGCCAGATCAGCTTCACTGTGCAGGTCATCAAGCCATTCCAAGGGCAACCTCTGGAGATTACCGACTTTGAAACCTACTGGAAAGCAACAAGCCAATTCAATCAACCAACGAGCGCTATTGTAACTGGATCGAGTCTCTCTGGCGATTATGTAAGGCTCTTTGTTCAGTATACCAGTGACGGTGTCCCTGTGCTCTGGCCTAGATGGACAATAGCCTGCGGTGGCCTTGATATTCCTGTCTGCCGATTGACTCTGGAACAGTTCACTTCTATGACGATCAGGAGCAACAGTCGTGCAGAACTTCCCAATTTGAAAACCAAGTCAGCTGAAAGCATGGCTGAGGTCTATCACATCCTTGCGACGGCCGGCGTGACACTTCAGGAAGCACTTGCTTTACTCAACCCTGGAATGCATGTTAACCTCCAAGTACTGTACCCAACTCCCGAGGAAGAAAAAGCTTTCTCGCTTGGACCTGCTTTGGACGTCAACGTGTTTGTCGATTCAATCCTCACCATTGTGTTCGAGCATGCACGAACACAACGTGCACAGGCTCCTGATGTAGTCCGGTCGATTGTATTCAGCAGCTTCAGCCCTCGACTATGTACAGCCTTGAATTGGAAGCAGCCCAATTTCCCTGTTTTCTTGTGTAACGACTTAGGACGAGAGGAGACCTCAGGGCCCAGTGGAAGGCGCAGCACCTCTATTAAGGAGGTGGTGAGAATTGCCCAAAGCAATAACTTCATGGGATTAATATGCTATTCTCGACTACTGGTATGTTGAAACTGCTATTCTCTGCTATTGATAACCTGTTTGCTGACTGCCGATAGGATATGGTACCGGCACTGGTAGATGCTATCAAGTCTCATGGGCTGGCTTTGGTGACAGACAAGTCATCGGACTCACCGGATGCGAGCCCAATGACTGATCCTTTCCCTCGACCACCCAAGGGTGTCGATGGAGTTCTGAAAAGCCATGGTATTTTGCGTTTCAATGATTCGATAGACATGTAGGTGGCTGTAATGAGAAATGCCCGAATAACGACTGAAATGGCCGGGACGGATAGAAAAAGAGGGATCTGAAGACATGGGTTGATCGGATAGAATTATTCATCACTGTGTATTTGCACTTGTTATACCAACTTAACTAAATGCTTGATTATTATGATTAGGCACCTTTGTAGTCATACTTGAGTGACGACAACTCCTTCTCGGGGTCAACACTGCCCATGACCATCTTTGACACCAGGATAATACCATAGACCACCAAGGGCAGGTATCCCATTCCGGGCCACACGGCTTCACTTTTTGTTCTGCCTATTGCCCAGGCCATCAAAATCAAAACTAGGCCGAGGCCCAAATTTAGATAGGGCAGATAAGTTTCGAGCGGCGACCTTCTTTCGATGTAACTGAACGAACTCCTGCGTTGTCGTGGCCTCCCACGAGGAACATACGGCACATCGTCTACCTCGTCCTCATCATCATCGTCAAACACACCGGGAGACTCCCTCGTTGATAATGATGGTGGGCGAGTGGGTCGTGGAGTCTTAGGCTTTGCCCAGGTATCAAGGAATGGAATTCCTGATGATGCTGGTGGTTGGTGATGAAGCAGATAGGCCGTAGAAAAGAGAGAGGTTAGGCTTAGAAGAGCGAGAAGTGCTGTAGGAGGGTTGATGAGAGCGGGAAGATAGGGGATGGTCGCCAGAAGGGGTATGGCGAGGAGGAACCGGCGAAACTGAATATCTCGAGCGGCGTTTTCCGCTGCGAGCTGATTGATGTAGTCTTCTTGTTCTTAGAGTAGTGTTAGATGTTTATTTTTTGGTACTTTGTCAAGACTGCCATGGTATACCTTGTTCATCCAAGGCTTCAGGCTGTGAGTCTGTAGAGTCTTCCTCTGGATAGTGAAATGTGCGCCTCAAACGGGCTGTCGTTCCCTGATACGCAGGCATGATAAAGTCGCTAAGATCCGATGAAAGACTTGAACTGAGGAGAAAATATATAGAGCATTAGAATAAGGAACAGTTGAGGCCAGGTTGTTGATGTAAGAGTCTGTCTTTCGTCAGTCACATGGTTAAACTGTCCACGAGGTTGAAGTGAGGCTCAGCCTTATGACGCCACACCGGCCCTTGCCCCACCTCGAGCAAGCAACATCGGATCGGCGTCCGGCAGCAAAATTTCGCCGATATCGAGCAATTGAATTGAGCCTCAGCTGATCAACTCCCATTCAGTTGGTCACCAGAATCTAAGCGCAAAATCACCATGTCGCAACAACTAGCGCTACCTAGGATCGTCCGACGACGCTTGGCGGCTGTTCTCAAGTCAAGAACTGTCACATTGAGACCAGCGCAGAGAAGATGGATGACTCCCGCGCCGAAGCCTGGAGATGGGCCCATGATGTCGAGGAGGGCGGACCGAGAGCTTCCAGGTACGGACAATTGAGACTCGATAAGCCATTGAATCAGACTGACATTGGTGACTGTGTAGATGTAGCTGATGTCACATTCCGCTGGCGCCGTACTTTCCCCATCTTCCTCCTCATCGTGGCCGCTTCATCAGTCGCCATCTTCAACTACCAAAAGATGTCCTCACCCGTCGTCTCCTCGACACTCTACGCTCTACGGACCAACCAAGAGGCTCGCGATCTCCTAGGTGACGAGATCTACTTCAAGCACCAAATCCCCTGGATCCATGGCGAGATGAACCAGCTTCACGGCCGTATCGATATCTGGTTCTCGGTACGAGGCACAAAGGGCGAGGGTGTTATGCGCTTTGCTAGCAACAGACCTACCAGCAAGGGATTCTTCTCAACTACAGAGTGGAGTCTTACCATGAGCGATGGTACGAGATTGGACCTCTTGGATAATGGTGACCCTTTCAAGGCGCTCATCGGAGGTGGTGAGGATCTTCCTGCTGTGGAGGAAGATGCTCCTACAAGAGGATTCCGAAAGCAGGTCGAATACAAGTGAGGCATGATGGGTAACTCAAAGGGAACATGGGAGGCGAGCATTGTTGTTAAAATGAATTTGATAACCCTGGGTACTCCGGTTGTAGTCGAATCTGTACAGTAGATGGTGTGTGTGTGTGTATAATGCAAAAAGCCCGCTTATGATCTCTCCCATTTTATCATACGTAGTACAAAGTCCCTCTAACAATCCACGGTAAAAGTCATTAATCTTGAAGCTGCGCCGTTTCTCTCTCGTTCTTCAGCTGAAGATGCCTCTCCCGGGCTTCTTGGAGCTTAACCTCATGATCGGGGTTGCGCTCCAATAGAGTAGCCAAAGCAGCCTCACGATGAGGTTGAGGAGGAGCCTTTCGCTTCTTGGCGTCTTGAAGACGAACAACACGACCCTTGGGACCGGCAATAGGTCCACCGACTAGCACAATACCCAAGTCGTTATCCACCATCATGACCTTGAGGTTCTGCACTGTGACGAATTCGTTACCCATACGACCAGGCATCTTCTTGCCGGGCATGACACGACTACCGCTGCCCTGAGAAGGACCCGTTGTACCGATTGTTCGATGGTTCTTGGAGTTACCGTGCGAAGCTTCCTGACCGGAGAAGCCGTGGCGTTTCATACCACCAGCGAAACCCATACCCCGCGATCGGCCCTTGACATCGACGTACTGGCCCTTCTTGAACCAGTCGGGAAGAATTTGAACACCAACAGGAAGAAGACCAGACTCGTTTCGGACCTTGAACTCGGCGAGCTCAGCCTTGGGTGCAATGCCCTTGGCCTCGTAGTAACCCAGCAGTGGGCTTGTGACGTTTCGACCATCACGCGAGCCCGCACCAATCTGCACAGCCCAGTAACCGTTCTTCTGCCGGGTCTTGTTGGCGACGACCTGGACCTGATCGAGCTGCAGCACAGTACAAGGCACACGGGTCTTTCCAACAAACACACTGGTCATGCCCTTCTTGGTAGCAAGGACACCCGAGCGCAGAGGCGTGGTATTCTCCCGACGCTTCAGCGCGGCAGCAGGACCACTCGTGAGGGCAGGAAGACCGGAAGAAGGCTGGTTGAATCGCTTGTGCTTGCTGCGAGGAGGAGCCGTGGTCCATCCATACTTGACACCGCGGGTAGCTGTGAGCGGGAGGAGGAGAGGCCGGGCGGCGACGGCGCAGGGCCGTGGGAGGGCCAGGCGAATTGGCAGACGGGGAGGCATTTTTTGAAGGCGGCGTGTCGACGGCGGCGGTGACGCTGTCGAGAAGAGCAATTGGGCCGCCGTGGGTGGGATATTGAGGGCGATGGGTCGGATCGGTTGATAGTGGTGAAAGATTTTGGGTGAGGTTGAGATACTGGAGAGCTTTTGCAGCACCCGGAGAATTCCCGGCTAGCATTGGCTGTAGTGAAAAGGCACGACATTCAAGACGAGAGATGGACGCTATGAAATAGTTTAAACGAAGAGGTTTAAATTGATCTTGTATTTGATAGTTTATGAGACTTTACTATCTAGTCTCTCTATTTATTCTTTTTTTGTTGTTGGTGAACACTGTCGATGACCTTGATCCTCTCTAAATTCCAGGACCCCTCCCTCCAATACCACTCCCCATCTGATTCACACTCGTGCCCTTGAGTTTATGATCTCCCGGGTTCGCAGCAGCCTCGTAGATGATATTCGCAGGCGCTCGGCCAAGTTGAGTCCATTCGCCCTTGAAACCGATGTACGAGATACGGGTCACATCCTCATCACCGTCGCCAAAGTTGTCCGCAAAGAAGAGCACCAGCCGCTGCACTTTTCCAAACAGGGCTCTCTTCACGGGAATCTCTTGCACATCGCTTGTCTGGGAGAGCTCGAGAGTCTGAATAGGGTCTGACTCCTCGGCGGCTGCAAAGTCGAGGTTGTCTCGGTTGATGAAGAGATGGAGGGTTTTGGGGGCTGAGGCTGAGGGGGATGTGCGGATGAGGATGGAGTGAAGCTTGATTTGGGCCGTGAATCTGATACAATTTAGTAAAAGAATTGTACATAAGATCTATTGGTACTTACGGCACTGTCATGAGAAGCTGCTCATCAACATCGCTCTCTAGCTCAGGCTCAACGCTGAGCCTCTCTTGCCACGTCTTCTTGACAATTTTCTGACCAGCATCTCGCTGGGCTTCATTCAAAGTGACAATGTGATCAAAGTTGATTTGACTGTAGAGTGAGAACTGCACAGCTGGTGTGATGTCGTCGGAGTGATCATGCTCATGGTCGTGGTCGTGGCCATGACCAGAATGTTCATCATGGCAGTGAGACATGATGCTAGATTGATCTGAATAGTCCTACAGTGAGTAACTCGTAGAAGCCGCTCGTTTTGTGGATTTTGAGTCAAGCTCGTGGTGATGGTTGAGTTGATGATGTTGGTTGTAAGTCAAGTGAACCATTAACAATTGGGGATGACGTTTTAGCACTGGGTCCCCTACATAAGCGCCCAAGCCTGAATATCATGAACATTAATAACAGACTCAAGGTCGCACGATCCGAACAACAGTTGGAAGCAACCAATCTTCATGATTTCCTGACTAGCAATTAAATAATAGCAATTATATATGTCATGTATATCATCAATAACCCTGAATGTATAGCCAATACGCCGGTAATCTGGTTCGCTTGCTTCATCTAAATCCACTCTTCCTCTTATTCTTCTTCGCCTTCTTCCTATCCCCGAAGATGCCCGATACAGGCTGGCTCATAGCAAACGAGGGCCCAAAGAGCCCTTGACTCTGTGAAGACGAAGGTATGCCTTGCTGACTCGACATGGTTTGAGGCGTGGGAGCAACAGATATCGGCGGCAGTGCCATGGGCTCTTCTCTCCGAGGACGCATCGGCGAAGACATGGGGTTGCCCGCTGTAGTTCGCACCGAAGTCCTGACGGCCTTGGGGTCTCTGCCCTCTCTCATAAACGGTGGTAGTTTGTACTTGTCGTTCTGGGCCTTGCGCTTGTTTTCGATCCTTTGCAGTCGTGACCTTGCGTCGTCAAACTTCCTATCGGTAGCAACGGCAACACTAGATATGTAGTCATCTGTGCTGATACCACGCTCAGTGGGCCAGTATGACAGCACGTTAGACGGTTTGGCATTTTCCATCTTGTCCAATCTCAATGATGGTGCGAGGAGCTGTAGTCGCCTGATCGCTGCATCATCGGCACTGTTTGGTGTCGCAACGAGAGGTGATGAAGGAATTCCACCTTCTGATGATTGCGATGGCTTGTTTCGAACTACACTCGACTGAGTGGGCTGAGCTCGTCCATCTTCCTCCTGGCTTGCCGGCCGTAGAAGAGGCACATCTTGAACCATGACTCCGGCTGTTGCCAGAAACATATCCTTAGCTAGGTCTGCGATCCATCCCCTTATTATTTCCTCCTCTTGCTGGGGTATTCTTCCTTCCAGCGGATCAAGCCAAAGGTCAACGTATGTTTGGTTAAGATGCGACAAGCTGACGAGTTCTCGAATCCACTCCTGCGAAGTCTGTCTTCCGAGTTGCGTCACGACTGTTTGTCCATCACCACCTGCAAACAAATCGAGCATATCGGGTTGTCTTTCGTGAAAACCATTTCGTAAGTCCATTGGACCAAGCTCGTCGCCGATTTCCTTCCAAGTTTTTAGGGGCAGTCTCCCTTCAGCCACCCCCTCAGTGATGTTCTCTTGGATAGCTGAAAGCAAGGCGGGCGGTATATCATGAACGCTGTCTGAAATAGCCAGCAACGTCTTCTGAAGGGAACGGCACAAGCCATCCAGGTTCAAGCTTACAGGGCCCAAGACTGCAGATGCTCTGCTCTTTATCTCGTCGAGGTCCTTGGATCGATTGTTATGTTTTACCACATGTTTGATGTTGTCATCAGCCATGCCTTCGGGAAGCACAAACGTGCTGCCCATATGTCTAATGAACTGTTTTCGTTTCTTCTTCCAGCGCTGCGCTTCGTCTGACTTGTTGCGACCAACCCGCCCACTAGGTAACGTAATCTGCATATTGCGATCTTTGACTGAGACACAGATGCAGTATTGCACACCCAAATTCTTGCTCAGGATGCTGCCTTGGTAGAACTGAACTCCTGCACGGTAATAATCGGCCCCAAAGCCAGACGAGGCGTCCCCATCCCGCGTGAGCTTGACCGGATGGATTTCGAGTGATTGAATATCACCACTGGCCGATCCAGCATTTTGAGGAAGAGTAAGTGTGTCACGATGCCAATAAGGAAGGCCGCTTGACTTTGACTGTCCGAACCAGTAGGTTTGAAGTTGTCTATGAGTCGGAGAAAAGACGAACACCATAGCAGTCTCTTGTCCACCTTCTGAAGTAAGGCATGTTGTCATTCGCAATCCTTCTCTGTCCAACAAACGAGGGCAGGATATCAGAATAGTCGGGGTTGGTCCTACATCCTCCTCCAGCGTGCCTTTCGCAAATAAGTCAATCCAGTAAATGGTGCGCATGGTTAAGACGAATATGTGATTCTGGTTGGCTGGGCTGACTCTGATGTCAAGGATTGCATCAGGCTTGGACTTTGGACGAGCCAACAACGATAGCCGAGGCAGAGCTATGTGCGACACGAGATCGATGACCTCGTACTTTTCCCTGTTCCAGATCAGTAGATGACTGGATCGTTGCGCGGGTCCTTTAAAGTCATCAGAGCTTTGTGAACCATCTTCCCAGAAACTGTCCACTTTGGCTGTGCCGACAAATAGAACCCCGTGCTTTTCAGCGGGATGCTCTGTCGTCGAGGGCAATTCGTTCAATAATCCATCCGAGATATGTCCGCACGAGTAAGGTAGAAGTCGTGTTTTCAGCTTGTTTCCCCCTAAGATGTCCCATATGGACCAATATCCGCATTCGTCAATGATGGCGATCTGTGGGAGCAGGCCCTTAGAATTTGGATTGAATGCGACATCTACCTGCGCGTTACCGCCAGTCGACTTATGGGAGATGGTCAGGATCGGGTTAGGATCGATTCGCGACAGCCGTGGTTGATGAATGTCGGAATCGGAAGCGGACGATTGAGCCACTGGAACCTTGTGATACTCTGGATGGAGAATGGTGGTCGAAGTTTGCTTTTGAACGATGAGCCAACGAATGGAATCATATCGTGTGAGACTGGTCGCGAATTTGACTTGAGAGATTGGCAGACCATCGCTGGCCCAAATGGCCTCTTCCTCGGGATCATCGGGGTCTATCACAGAAGGCTGAAGAGTCGTGCGCTTGTCATTTCCCCATTTCCATTTCGATTGATCGATCCGAGCCAGTCTAAGTAGCTCTCCTGACTCTCCCGTAGCAGCCGCAAGCATGGGTGATCCAGTGATTCTCGAATGATCCGACACATTCGTCATTTGGCCGATAGCAAGCAACGGTTGATCGCTAACTTCTCCCTCGACCTTTGAGTAGCGACTCATGTTCTCCTGGAGAAGCTCGGACAGCGCTGAGTTACCCATGAAGGCTTCGGGATGAGCCTGGAGAAGCCATCGCTTTTGTACTCTCCTTTCCTGCCACAGGTTGGACGAGATCTCTGGAGAAGGGGTTTTTGAAGGCGGGTACAACTCCGCTGAAGATCCAACAACCTTGAAATGTGGCGCTAGACATCTTTGTCAATATTGCGATGCGCGCAAGGGATTGTATAGAAACTCACCTTCAGCAGTTACGCGACTGGAGTGAAAAGTCCCAGGTTGCGTTGTCGCATTCTCAGGTGGTATATAAGTAAGACTTCCTACGTGACCGTGGATCAGGTCCGTAAGTCGCCTGGTCTCAGCCATTTGGCCCAAGTCTTGATTTCCAATGTGCTGAAATTTTGGCCGATTTTCCTTTCTTCATCGCGAGATGGGCTAGTACAGGCGCAAGAGAGTCTCGAGCGGGAGTCAATGGTATTTGAAGCACTAGAAAGGCATCCTATGTCATATGAGGTCATGCGATGAAGAATTTGGCTAGGCAGGTAGAAATATATCTATAGAAGAGAAGTATCGGTGAGTATAAGTAGACGTTAAAATAAGAGACGCTCAGCGCATGCGATGAGAAGTGAAGCTTTCGACGGCCCCACGTGGCGGTGCAAGCAAGGTGCGCCACATTTATTAGTCGACCGAGCAACGCAATTTCGCGGTGTAAATACATACCTACCTACAATGCAATATATGCATGAACAATGCCCAATTTGTGTCTTCTTGATCAACCCCATCTACCCTACGGAACAAGAATTTGAAGCCGAAAACAGTACCAGCCAAACAACTTCACGACCCTGAGTCATAGGTACGCAATGGCTACCGACTTTCAGTCCTCCCTATCCGCCAGCATGCGACAGAGCATGGCCCCCGTCGGCCCCTCTGTCGCAAACCAGCTGCCCAACATCAACTTTGGCTTCGATGACCTGCGCGATCGCATGGCAAAGTTCACAGCCCGATTCGATGCGTTCATTGAAGAGGGCCGTAAGCGCGTCCTCGAAGAGCGCAACCAGTTCCGCATGAACGTCGCTGAGCTTCAAGGTATGCTCTAAGCCGCTGGCGCATAAGATATCTACTAACCACAATATCAGAGGATCAACGTATGAAGAAGCGAGACATCGAGATCATTCAAGTCAAGACCTCGACGCACCAACAAACAATCGAGAAGGAAGAGGCGGAAACGCGCGAGATGGAGAGCGCTATTAACTCCCTCGCTGCCCAGCGCGATAACCACCTCGCAACCCGCAACAGTCTCAAGGCTGAAATCGCACAAACACAAGCCGAGATCGAAGCCCGACTTGCCGCGCAGCGCGAATACGCTCAACAGCAACAAGCACAGTCTCGTTTCAACGTCCCCGAGTTGGACTTTTGGATCACCAACCTATGCCTCAAGATTGAAGGTGCTGGCCACGACGATCGTCTCAAGTTTGTGTACACGCATATTGACGAGAAGGACTGGGAACGCGAGGCTTGGTTTGAACTTGTTACAAGCTCGCGCGATTACGATGTGAAGCACTGCAGACCCAAGATTGAGCGGGAGAAGGTTGAGAGGGTGCTGGACAAGCTGAATGAGTCGAGGGAATTGGTTGTTCTGCTGAAGGGGATGAGAGAGCTGTTTGTGGAGGCTATGAAGACCTGAAGCGCTGATTGATGTATTATGCTGCGACGACCGTTTATGTGCGATAACGCTGTTTTTAAGAACGATAATTATACCTTGGATGATTGTTTTTGTTTGAAATAACCTTTGAGTTTATCTTTGAGATATCCTGGGTGTCTGTTCAAGTGGCCTCCTAGATAGTAATTAAATCCACCAACACGATCGGTTGAAAATCATAAATTCAAATAGACTATCATGTTGAAACCTCCTTCTCAAAGCACCGATAACCATGTCGTTTTAATAACATTTTTGCTGTTTATTGGGTATCATGATTTGCATCAGCCCAAACCAAACCGCGACCCGCGTCTCCCCGCCATGATCAATTATTAACCTCCACCCTTCACTTCCCTCTCTTCATACACCATATCAAAAACCCACCAACCATCACCATGCCTGAACCAGATAAGCACGCTGCTGCGCAACAAGCCGTAGATATTCTCCATGAGATCTCTACTATCCTAGTACGATAGCTCATCCATAAACCAACACGCGTGAAGACCCGACCGCTGACTTGAGATCACAGAACTGTCACCTTGATCGCCGAACTCTATCAATCTGCATCTCGATGATTGAGCGCGGAGTGAACCCAGAGGCTTTAGCGGTACGTAATTGAATTTTATGTGTTTCCGATTTGAAAGAGCGTCTAATATGTGTTTTCGTGCAGCAAGTTATCAAGGAACTCAGACAAGAGGCCCAGCAACCAGCAGCTACGGCAAGACGACGTTGAGTGAGCGGAATGAACTCTATACAGAGGTTTGACACGAATTGAATTTGGAATTATGGAAATATTGTTTCGGTAGGCGTTCATAGGGAAATGCTTTCACTTAACCGGCGCAAAAGACTCTGCCAGAATAGAGATTTTGTTGTACTCATGCCCTAGGTACATACTCAAACAATCATGCTACCATACTTTGTGTCCGTCGAATCTTATTTCAAACCCAAAATCAGCGCAGAATAATAAGCGCCCAAGATGCAAACCACCAACTTAGTCACATCCCTTCGTACACATATAGGCAGTCGGTAGCCTCCAACTGGTATTCTCCCCACCAAGTTAATGCAGTCCCCCAAACGCCTTGCAGTAAAACAACCTAGCCAACCCTTTTGATCTTATATCATGCTATTTTGTGATTGCTCATCGATGTCCAATAAGAATAATTTCGTTTTCGTCTTCTTCGTCATCATCGTCGTCCTCCTCTTCGGCGTCTGAAAGTGTATCGCTAAGATCATCCAGCTCCGAATCTTCGTCATTCTCAGATGCATTGTTGCCACGGTTTCGAATTCTCCAAATTCCAAGGATATCGTCCTCTGACTCTTCATCTGGTGGCAGGTGTGCCATGATCGAGTCGAACCCCATATTGCCAGGGGACACTGATCGTGCAACTCGATCTGGAGCGCGGTATTGAGCCTCAACACCGTGAGACGAATGTCTGCGCCTGTTGCCCACTGTGATAGGTGCTCGGTTCCCACTCACAGATCCAGAAGCATCCCGCCCAGTTTCCACAATTGGTTGCATTTCAGCAGACGGCTGAGATCCTGCACGGTCACCTCCCACAATATTCAGTTCTACCGTATTATATGACCGGCATATGGAACATTTCAGACCCAACCAGTGATATCGAACAGTGCTCTTTCCGGAGCAGTCGTTGCACAGAATAACGGCAGTGGTATCGCGGAACTCCGGTGGCATGGGTTGAGTCTGGATGGCAACATCCAGATTTCGGAACTGGCTCTCCATATTCGTAAGACTCTTGTTGCAGATCGGGCATTTGTATGACACTTTCATATGCTGTTCATAGCACTTCTTATGAATGCTATGACCGCAAGCCATGAAGACCACAGGCCGTGGTGAAGTGAAGAGGTACTCGCCACAGATGGGACAGTCGCAATCTGTTGACCTCTCGATACATTTGTGAGAGCCCTCAATCGAGGTTGAGATGCATGCCCGACAGGTCTACAGCTAGTCAGCAATCATTATCATAGAGGCATGACTGTTCTCACCTTGCAGTGAAAAAAGTCCCTGCCGAGGCCCATGCCTCGACGACAGATACCGCAGTCGTTACAGTGGTAAATGGGTTTACTCTGGCGGTTCTCCCATAAGTGACAAATATCGCAATAGTAGTATGCCGACAACTCGCCGCAGTTGATGCACATGTCCGAGGCCTTCTGTGGTGTTGCACAGAGCATGCAAAGCATGTTCCTCGTCTCTGTACGGATGAGGTTGTGATCCTCGTTCGCATCGTGACAGAAACGACAGGTGTACCATTTCTTACATGTGAAGCATTGGAGCTTGACGTTTCGTTCGTAGTGTTGGCATCCAAGAGGTTGTTCCGTCTCTGGTACTACTTCTAAAGGTTCCACTGGAGTCTCACTTCCATGTCGTTTTGGAGGCTTCACAGGTACATACGTCGGTGCTTTGTCTTCCTCGCTCAAGATGAATATTTCCTCATCCGGTTGGTTCTGCCAGAACTTCAACGGCCTCGATACTGGCGACGACGGTGATTGCGACAGAGGTACATCCAAGCCTTCACCACTCTCGAGGATCTTCTTCACAAGCGGCACTGTCTTGGATGACTTATATCCTTCCAACAGAATATCATGGATTAACCGCGCTTTATCATTTTGGGGTATGTCTTGGGCGTTGATCGAATGGATCCGGGATCGCAGCTCACGCATACCATCGTCTTCCGGAATCCGGCGAGAGCTGAGCGGGCTCAGAGCAATCCCTATATGATCGCGGGGAGGAGTTTCTTGGGACATGATTGGGACTGGTTCGGGTTCTTCAACTCTTGTTTCTTCGGTCGAGACGCTGAGGGGTCTGGTGAGGGGAGACTCGATGATCGGCACCGGTGCCGGCTCAGGTACTGGCAGAGGTACAGGTACAGTTACAGGCGCAGAGACAGGACTATCAGGATGGCCGGAATCGCTCACTGCGTCAGCGTGTTCGGTCGAGTCGCCTCCATCGCCAGTGAAGGTAGATCGCGAGATTTCGGAAAATCGACGAGCCTGACGCAAGACGGGATTGATGAGAAACTCTGAGACGAGGGAAGACATCAAGTTGGTAGGTAGGTTGGAGTGGAGGCTTAAAGTAAGTTGGGAAGAGGGAAAGGCCTAAGCGGCGATCCAAGATACCGTACGGGCGCACTAATAAGATAGAGGAGCTGGTTGTTTGGAACTGTACTGTATTGTACTGTACTGTACTTGCGCCGATACTGATACAGTGGAGGAGAGAGAAGGATGATAGAGAATGGCGCTGAAAGAGGGGATCTGGCAAGGTAGAAGAGAACTGCAATATGGTAATGGTACTGTAGCAGTGAGGAGAAACGGTAACGGCACAGGACCAGGCGCCTCAAAACAACGGAATGACGAGAGACTGGAGAAGCCAGAGACTACGGCGTCTCTAGCTCTGTTCTTCTGACTTTAGACTGGAGTTGGATGACATAAGGCGATTTTGTTCCCCAGTGACATTCAGTGGAGTTTTCCGAATAGCGGATGGTAAACGGAGAATATGCAGTAAGTGCACCGTTTGGAGCGATGAGAAGGGGAAGATAGGGGGCCGTTTTTTAGCATGTGACTGTGGATTGTGGTTCACAGAAGACCTCCAAGCCGATTCTGTTTATGCAATTGCCATTGGATATCATAGATGGACTGTTAGCAACATATTCAATCCCGTCGTTTTGCCAATTCAAAATCGACGGTTTCGCCTTCAGCCGTTGAAACCCAACTAACATGGATTTTTGTCAGTTCCATAAGTATGTAGGTACAAGGCAAAGGTACGCTCCGATTACGGGAACGGATCAAACCGCATGTTGTCGGAACCTCGATCAGACGAGGATTCGGATATATAGGGAATGTAGTGGGGAAATTGAACGACAGAGGCAGAGGATCAGGATCAATGGTGCCAAAGACGGCAAAATACGGTGGAACAAATTGAATTCGGCGGTCAATCTCTTGGTTTTAGGCCATCTGTGTAAGTGAGGCACAGATGAGATCAGGGTATGTTCCGCTGAAGCCGTCAGGCCAGGGAGACCCTTTCTGGACCCTTTGAGATGCCTCCCTCGATATTCTACGATCCTAAAAGAGTTCATAGCCCTGAAACTCAATTGCTGAAGTAGTGTTCAAAGGCTATTCACTCTGAGCTTATTCGTGTCTCATGATTCAGTACAAAAGACAAACAGAGAGAGGCTGTTTTTGCCCAGTAATTCGACGTTCATCAGTCATGACGATCCGTGGGTCCTTGAACGCCTTCGGCTCTGCATGTCTCTCTGCCTCTTCGCTTGCGCAGGGAGGTCGCAGAGATGGACGTCATTAGTAGGAGACAGCTGTCTGCTAATCACTGTCTCACTGTCTGAAGAGGCTGCAATCAGAATCAACGATTTGAAGAAGCATGAGACCTTCGACAAATGAAAGTTTGATCGAGCAAAAGGGTGGAAATCCCAGTGTATTGGTTCTTACTACTCCGTACTTGACATGGAGACAAGAGCGTCTTTTGGATGCTAGTAGTCTATCGTTGATCAAGGTCAATTTGAAACAAGCACTTGCATGAAAGAAGCTTCAGAAACAGAGTCAGATCGAGAAACAGCAAAAAGAAACTGATCACGCTGGGGATCGAACCCAGAATCTTCTGATTCGTAGTCAGACGCCTTGCCATTGGGCCACGCGACCTCGAGTTTTTTTTGTCGTTCTCGCTCACTGACAAGTAGATGTCGCTACCTCACAGAGTCTGGCAGAGAACGGCGCCACTTTTTTGAATTTCATCCCTGGATCCCTGCAGCTGATTGCCCCTAAAACATTCAGTGCAACGCGCTATCGAAAACGGACATGGGAGCTGGAAGGCTGGACTAGGCTGAGGTGGGGGTAGTATCGACTGGTCGGGAGCTCACGCCAAGGGGAGCCGTACGGGAGCAGCTGTTTAGCGTGGGTGACGACTCGCCCGTAGAGCATATGTGGCATTTCAGGGGACAGAAGAGATTCACTGTCGTGTAATATTCTTAGAACCACCTCAAGCCGAACCGGTTCAGTTTCGTTTCTCTGGACTCGGGCATCTCCAGTTCTTTTTTCTCTCTCTATCGTTTTCCCTCTCCTGATTCTTCTTCTTCCTTTTTTTCCTCTTCCGACCTGTGTTTCTCTTCTATGATCACAGGGTTTTAGAAACGGCTCCTTCGCTGAAGCTGGTGTTCCTCCCTTCCAGGTTCCCTTGAGTCTCGACAGCTCGTCCAATCTTTTTTTCCCTTCTCCCTCCTGTCGAGCTTACTTCGCCAACATCAACCCCCTTTGGCCCCCATCAAACATCCATTCTGCAAACATCGCGACTTCTCCTTCGACCCGGTATCTATACGATTGAATAATCATGGCTGCCGACAAGGCTGCCGTCGCCTCAGGCGCTGACCTGGGCGATGGTCTGAGACAGCGTCCTGTCGCTGGACAAGCTAACCTGCAAGTCCCGACTCCTCAGCCTGAGGACAACAAGAAGCTTGTCAAGAAGGTACTGCACCTGTGCATAGAGGAAGTGCCATTGAACAATACTGACCGCATCTCAGGAGTCCTCATTGCTCCAAACACTCGACCAGTGGGAGGTTGTCATTGCCCCGCTGATCTTCACTCTCCTGGCTATCTTCACTCGACTTTACAAGATTGGTATCAGCAATATCGTTACTTGGGATGAAGCTCAGTATGTCGAATTGACTTTCGCCGTCCCGTAAACCTTCTCTAACACCTCGATAGCTTCGGCAAGTTCGGTTCCTACTATATCAAGCATGAATACTACTTCGATGTCCACCCCCCTCTCGGCAAGATGCTCGTCGGTCTCTCTGGAGTCCTGGCTGGCTACAATGGAACATTCGAATTCAAGTCTGGCGAAAAGTACCCCGAGGAAGTCAACTACACCATCATGCGTATCTTCAATGCGGCTTTCGGTATCTTCTGTATTCCCCTTGCCTACTACACTGCCCGTGAGCTCAAGCTTCGACGTCCTGCTGTGTGGCTCGTTACTCTGATGGTTCTTTGCGAGAACTCCTACACCACAATCAGCCGTTTCATCCTGCTCGACTCTATGCTGCTATGCGGTACTGTTGCCACCGTCTTCTGCTGGTCCAAGTTTCACAACCAGCGACACAGCAGCTTCGAGCCTGAGTGGTTCTTCTGGTTGTTCCTGACTGGTCTCAGCATTGGCTGTGTCTGCAGTGTCAAGCTTGTTGGTCTTTTCGTCACTGCTCTTGTCGGTCTTTACACCGTTGAGGACCTCTGGCGAAAGTTCGGTGACACCAAGATGCCTGTTGTAAGTAGTATCATGACTGACATCTGTTCTTGACTAACCACCCATAGACCACTCTTGGTGCCCACGTCATCACCCGTGTTGTTGGCCTCATCGTCATCCCTTTCCTGATCTACCTCCTCTCTTTCGCCCTGCATTTCGCCATTCTCGATCGTTCCGGCCCTGGCGATGCTCAGATGAGCTCCCTCTTCCAGGCTAACCTCAAGGGTACCCAGGTTGGGAAGGACAGCCCTCTCGAGATTGCCATTGGTTCTCGCGCTACCATCAAGAACATGGGTTACGGTGGTGGTCTTCTTCACTCTCACGTTCAGACTTACCCTGAGGGTTCCAAGCAGCAGCAGGTTACTTGCTACCACCACAAGGACACCAACAACGACTGGTTCTTCTACCCCAACCGCCGAGAGGAGGACTACAACCCTGAGGGTGATCTGCGATTCATCGGTGACAACTCCGTCATTCGACTTATCCACGCTCAGACTGGCCGCAACCTACACTCTCATGACATCGCTGCCCCTGTCACCCGAGGCCACAAGGAAGTTTCCAGCTACGGTAACCTGACTGTTGGTGACGACAAGGACCACTGGAAGGTTGAGGTTGTTCGTGATTCTGCTTCTCGTGACCGCAGCAAGATCAGGACTCTTACTACTGCTTTCCGTCTCAAGCACGAGGTCCTGGGCTGCTACCTCCGAGCCGGCAACGTCAACCTTCCTCAGTGGGGTTTCAAGCAGATTGAGGTTACCTGCACCAAGGAGAACAACCCCCGTGACACTTACACTCACTGGAACGTCGAGGCTCACTGGAACGAAAAGCGTAAGTTTTGAAGAGAACGACGCAGACTTGCTCATGCTAATTTTGTCTAGTCCCTCCCGCCGAGGCTGGTGTCTACAAGTCCCCATTCTTCCACGACTTCGTCCATCTGAACGTTGCTATGATGACTTCCAACAACGCTCTGGTTCCCGACCCTGATAAGCAGGATGACCTCGCTTCCAAGTGGTGGCAGTGGCCTTTCCTTCACGTCGGTCTCCGTATGTGCGGTTGGGGTGATGATATCGTCAAGTACTTCCTTCTCGGTAACCCTCTCATCTACTGGGGTTCCACCGCTTCCCTTGGAATTGCTGGTCTTGTCATTGTCTGGTACATCCTTCGATGGCAACGAGGTGTCAACGATCTCAGCGAGAACGAGATTGACCACATTCACTACGCGGCATTGTACCCTCTTGCCGGCTGGTTCCTTCACTACCTTCCCTTTGTTATTATGGCTCGTGTCACTTATGTGCATCACTACTACCCGGCTCTCTACTTCGCCATTCTCAACTTTGGCTTCCTTATTGACTGGTTCACTCGCAACCGCAACAAGACCATCCAGACCATCGTGTATGGCATTCTCTACACCGTCATTATCGGCCTCTACATTTACTTCATCCCCATTTGCTGGGGTATGACTGGCAACCACAAGCAGTACAAGTACATGAAGTGGTTCGACAACTGGCGAGTCACCGACTAAGGGATTGATCAATGTTTTGAGCAATCTCTTTTTTCTGATCACACAGTGATCTAGGCGAGCTGTCTCATGCACCGCCATGCAGACGTGTTTGGTATTATTCGATTTCGAAAACGTGCTGCAAGGATATAGAACTGGGGAACTCATGTAAAAGACGGGCCGCGGGATTTGTTGGGAAATCAAAGCAAGGAATGAAGGAAGAAAAGACGAAACAAGATCAACGGAATAAGGCAGTTACGGATGGATCTTGTTTCGGTAATGCTATGATATTGTCATTTCTGTTGCCCTTAATAAAGGTGGCCTCGGTAAGGCCAGCAATGTATTATGCATTATTGTGTACAATTCATATTGAGCTTTTCATACACTTGTTCGATGATGACGACGTTTGCTGGCTGACTGGGTATCATGATGCGTCGTGTGTCTGTAGGTCATTTGTGTCCTCCTCTTCGCATTGTCCTGGGTTGTTGTCCTCTAACAACAGCCACCTCCCGCTGACTTATTGGCATCTCCAGATAGCTTGACTTGGCGAGTTCCACCAGCGCCTGCACCCTTGACCCCGGATCTTCTGTCGTTAAGATCGTACTTGCCCGCCTGGATGTTGTTGTATATCCTCTCTGCTACCCGCATGAAAGCCTTTTCCACATTCTCGCCACTCTTTGCGCTTGTCTCGACGTATTCCATAACGCCATTACGCTTGGCCCACTCCTCTGCCTCCTCGCGTGTGACCTCACGCTTGTTGTCCTCCTGTTGTGTCAGATCTGCCTTGTTGCCAACCAGGATAACCACAATATCGGGCTCGGCGATCTGTCGTAGATCATTAAGCCAGTCTGTAACATGCTGAAAGGTTTGCTTTCGAGACAGGTCGAAGACCAACAAGGCACCGCTTGCGCCTCGGAAGTAAGATCGAGTGACAGACTTGTACGTCTCCTGACCAGCTGTGTCCCAAAGACTAAGCTTCATATGCTTCTGGGGCGTGTTGGAGTCATCCCGAGGAGGTTCAGGAAGACCGTCGGCTTCTTGGTCCTGGTTATCGGGGTCTGAAGAGTTGGCAGCGCCGACTTTTGAGTGGGGAGGGCCGACGGGGACGATACGGGAGCCGAATTCAACGCCAATGGTGACGTCGTGATGAGGCGAAAAGCGTCCTTCGCAGAGACGAATGGTAAGACTAGACTTGCCGCATCCTGAGTCGCCGATGCAGACGAGTTTGGCGATGTAATCCCACGGTGTGGTCGACATGGGAAGAGACTGAGAAGGCTGATGAGAATTGAAGAAGAGAGGTTCGTTGGAGAAGAGCTGATCGATGGGCTTGGTTTCCTCGAGCTAAAGAGGATGGAGTGAAGCACGTGCAAGCTGTCCTTTGCGGTGGTGCGACGTCAAACCCGAGGTACAAAGTAAGATAAGAGAAGTATCTGATTCGGTGATGCTGGTGTTTCGTGAGCGTGACTTGGTAATGAGAAGGGATGGGTTGTAAGTGGTAGAAATTTAGGGTTGGAGGAAGCTGGGTGGTTTATCTGAGGGAGCTAGAAGCTAAAGGTGGCTCCGGGCGGGCTAAATTCAGACTTAGAGATGGCGATAGTCACGGAATGACGATAAGAGCAAAATAGTGTAAATGAGACAAATACTGTGTTTTTACAGATCATAATTAGTAGAGATACAGTACCAGAAAATATGGCACGCTATGGGGAGGGAACTGGAGAGTAGCACAAGTCAGATGTTGGGGCCTGTGGCTATGGTTTGAGATGCTGAGCAGTCACGAGTTACAGCATTGTACGACTCAAGCAGGCAAGCTAACTCAGTGAAGCAACTCGACGACCAAGCAGATCAGATCAGATCCAGTATCAGTGGAACCTCGAGGGTGCTTTGGCGCTGCACCTCGTGCCTGAAGGGCCCTCTCCGAATGGGGATTAGAGGTTTCTTGGTGGTTATCGGTGACGCAAGGGGAATGGATCGATAACGTCTTGTTAGTTCTTGGGTCTTTGGGTCAGTTGATGTGTTTCGTCTTAGATAAGTATATATAAGTGAATGTATCTATAACTACTATCTTTGAGATTAGAGTCGTTTGATCTGTTTCTTTGACACAGTAAAAGTCATCTGTCGCTGTGTTTGATATCGTATGCAAATTGCCTCCGCGTGAGGACTGAGTGAGACTCAGAGATCTTCAGAGTGTCACAAGACCAAGCGAAGCTTGATTCAACTTGGCAAGTAGCGACGAGTCAAGAGAGTTTCAAAACAATGAAGAAGATGTGAGTGAGATACAGATTACTCGTCAACAAAGACGATCACTATCGCAACTGTTTGGTGGCAATAACATGCAGTCAAAGAATCGTCAACAAAGTGGAGTTGAATGCTAAATAAACGAGAGTGATTGCGTGCATCTTTGAAGGTGCAATACCTCACGTGAAGGTATCTCAACCCGCTCTTTGACTCTAGCCGATACTTGTTAGACATGTCGTGTGCCTCCCGGTCTTCCACATCAACCCCACGGCTGCCTGTGGCGCCTGAGGTGCTCGCGTCTTCAGGTCATTGACCGCCTGCCCAGGTGGCTCTGTCCGTTAAGGTACCTAGGTCCACTAACAGGGGTCTTCCCAGCGGATCTGCCTAGGCACCTCTGGCACTGACTGCACTGACTGCACTGGGGATGGACGCATTCGGTCAGCGACTCATTCGCTGATAAGCCCCGGACCGTCCATCTGCCATCTGCCGCCTCGCCTCATGACCTGGACTGGGTCGGGTACTTCCACGCTCTACCTTAACCTTTTAACAACCAGCCATTCATTCATCTGCATCTCAGCCTTTACTTTTGCCTGGACGACAGTTTTATCTCCTCACCACCTCCGCTTTCCATCTACCAGCCTCCATCATTGCGATCCGGTAATCCAAACAACAGTCGTCTTCTGCGCTTACACGGCGATACCTGTGGTTGCCTATCACCGTATTTACGTCACGTCAGATATCTACATCAACAAGGACTGGTTCCTACATATTTGCCAGCACGTGAGGCGGAAGGAGTCGAGACCGCGCGATGTTTTCGGAGTGTATGTTCTATTATTCCCTACGCCGTCTTGCAAGCAAGCTGACTTTGTTCTCTAGATGCATCGAGGTTCTTAGCCCAGTCACAATCCAGGCTATCGAACTTCGGACAACCCGATAACAACGACAATCCTCCACGACAAACAGAGTGGCCATCTCGCTCCACACGAAATCAGCGCGAAACAGGACGAGGAAATGGACCAAGTAGATCTTTCTTGGGTCGGGGCTATGGAGGAAACCCATATCAACAAACCGGCGCTGGGTCTCGGTTTGGTCAATTAGCTTTCGCATCGCGCATATCAGCTGCCCAGGATGCACCACTATTCCACAGTACTCTGGACGAATTTCGGGAAGAGGACGACGAGGAAGAGAGGGACCGAGAGGCTGCCGATATGTTTGCTCTCCAGAGGTCAAGACGGGTAGCAGCTGCCAGCAAACTCGCCGATAGTGTTGAATCCGACGCCCATAGCCGGGGATCTTTGGAGGACAGCCTGAATCATGACGACCCATATCGAGATATGAGCATGCGCCGCGGTATTCGAAGCAGTTGGAATGGAACAAGAAGCACTCACCGCCCAGGACTTGCGAGAGATACCATAGGAGAAGAAGCCGAAGACGATGCTCGTTCGAGTCTAGACCGAGACAGTAGTCATGGAACCGATGTTAAAGGCAAAATGGTTGACGTTGGACTCGAGTCGCAAGATGATCCAGATGAGGACCCTTCGGCTTCGCTTTTGGGGGGGCAAACTCCACGAGAAAGCAGTCCTCCTGCTTTCCAGCAATTTAAGGGTACGGATACAGAACGAACACCATTTATGGCAAGGCGAGAGTCTACGACAGAAACAGATGCCAGTATACAGCGAGGTGCCCCCCAGGAGGAAGAGCCTATACAAACGACATTCCAATACATCGAGGGTGAGATCTTTCGACATGATCCCTTCTTTGCCTGGATCTTCTTAATCAGTCTTGCTGGCATGCTCTCGACATTCTTCTTGGTGTGGCTTCACACATCACCACGGAAAAGCCCGGTCGGCGATACCATTTACACTACACTACAAAAGTCATTTCATATGCTTGCGGTGGATACGGTGGTGGCTGTGTTTGTATCGTTCATTTGGCTGGCAGCCCTACGATCGTTTGTGCGGCCACTGGTCAGCGTGATCTTGATTGCGGTACCAGTCATTCTGTTCTCCTTTTCGATATACTCCTTTGTGTCGTCTTTCAAAGGCCGATGGCATGGAAGCAGTTTCCAGGATTCCGTCATGAGGTGGGCTTCCATAATCCCTGCAGTCTCTTGCATATTATGGATTTGGCTTGTAGTCCGAGGACGACGCGCTATCCAACAGGCGATCGAGATTCTTCAATTTTCCAGCCGCATTCTGGCCCAGAACTCGGCACTGCTTTTCGTTGGGTTCGGATGTTTGGCTTTGATTGTCGTGTGGACCTGGGCATGGCTCGCTATGTTTACCAGGGTCTTCATGGGCGGTCATTTCAGCAAGTCTATGCTCCGTTTCGTAATTCAGCTTTCTAGCTGGTGGCTTGGGGCCGCGTTCATCTTCCTCTATATGTGGACAGTCTCGGTGATTAATGCTGTTCATCGTGCTACCACGGCCGCAACAGTATCTCAGTGGTACTTTCACCGTAATGCTGGGCCTGCTACGCCTTCGCGCGAGATTGTTTCGGCTGCTCTCAACCATGCCCTCACGACGATTTTTGGCAGTCTCTGCGAATCAACTCTTTTGTCTCTGCTGATTCGAGCACCTCTGATTTTCCTGCCCAGAAAACTCGGAGCTACCGTCACAAATATTGCTTCATTTTGGATCCCCACGCCGGTCATTGCTTTGATGAACCCGCTGACTATTACTTACTCTGCTATACATTCTCAGAATCTTGCTACTTCCGCCAGAGGCCTGGATCAGATGGAGCTTGTATCCCCGACGGTTCCTACGACTACATTGACTCCTCGAGCTTTGCGAAATCGCGGACAGCCTAATGGACTTTTGCCCTATCGACTTGCCAAGCTGTTGCTTGTGGCAACGCGACTTATCATGGCTACTGGTCTCGGTTTTGCTGGTTGGGTAATTACTGCTAAGCAGCTTCGAATTCAGCTGCCAGATGGCGTGGGTGTCCGTGGCTCTGCTTACGCCTATGTCGTGGGTATGATGGCTAGTTTCATTGGATACTCTGTTATGGGCGCAATGGAAGGTATCCTGAGCGGTATCGTTGACGCAGTTTTGATCTGCTACGGCAGCGAAAGACGTATGGAAAGAGGACATGGACGATTTTGTCTCGAGGCAGCATATCTATTTGGAGAGCGCCGAGGAGGCGACACACTGGAGTACGCATGAGTGGTTTCATTTAGCTGGCGCTTTTGGTTCAATAGGTTGGACGGGATAGACCCGTGTAGCAGAGGACTCAGGAATATTCATTTGACTTTTGGGTTAGGGGTGTTTCTGGATGGAAGAAGACAGCTACTAGATTTGAATTTAACGAGTCTTGAAAAGTCATTTGATTGGGTGAGTGAACGTGCTAAGAAGTATTGACTGGAATCTCCAGGTCTAGGCCATGGGTTAGTCGGTGGAGTTGCAGTCATTGATCGATCGATGGTGTTTGTCAAAATGCGCGCCCTTCAGTGGACGAGTCAAAGCCACAGCTGCCAGTGACTGCTCTCTGACTCAACCTTGAGCCCGATTCTGTCAGGCCCAAGACAAGAACGACATGATTCTCGGAGAATCGAAGCAAGAACGATATTGTCCTTTTCTTTGATTTGTCGATGCTCGGTTCAAGCCTTGGTGATACCTGCCTGATATCCATACTACTCCGGCTTTGGCAAGGGTCAAGGAGTTACCATGATCACATATATAAAAGAAACACTACCTACCTAGTCATCACTTGATTACTACTTCTTTTCCATTTATCTTCAAACTATTCATATCTCTCCGTGTATTCTGATCAGGCCATTGGATAAGATTCCATTGTTATGAGTCAACATCACTAGCTCATAGAAAGCCTTACTCTACGCACGCATTCTTGATCATACTCAGCATGTCTCCCGCAGAATCCATAACTATTCTCTGTGCTCCCTATCACCTTGGTATCGAAGATGTTGCCGTCGGTGCTGGACCAAAAGCGCTCCTCCATGCCGGCTTCGTCGACGCAATTCGAAACCTCGGCGTGACTGTCAACGTGCACGAGATCGATCCTATCGATGACTTTGACGGTGATATCAGTCGGCTCTTCGAGGTTTTGCGTCGCACTTCCCTAGGTGTAGCCAATATCGCTCGCTCGGGTGAGTTCCCTATCATTTTGGCTGGTAACTGTTCCACCACTGTCGGTGTTCAAGCCGGTTTAACAGCTGCGCTTGGGGAAATACCTTCTTGTATCTGGTTCGACGCCCACGACGACTTCAACACGCCTGATGTTCTTAAGAGTGGATATCTTGACTCAATGCCTGTTGCCATGATGGCAGGTCTGTGCTGGAAAACCCTCTTGACTAGCATCAAGGGATTCGAGGCCATGGATCTCAAGCAAAACCTTGTGCACTGCGGCATGCGAGATGTGACAGACCTTGAGCGCTCTCGAGTCGAGGAGGCTGGATTCCCCGTCATTTGGGGAGATTTAGATCATCATGTTGACTTTGAGAGTGAGCTTGGCAAGGTCCTTGATGAGAAGAAGTTTGATCAGACTATGGTGCACTTGGATCTTGATGCTCTCGATATTTCTGTCGGTATTGTCAACAAGTTTTCTGCGCATGGTGGATTGCTGGAAGATGATCTGGAGAAATGCTTCAAGATGATCCCGTCAAAGACAAAGCCGGTATCGTTGACGATTGCATCATTTGACCCTTCACAAGATGTACAGGGAACTATTGAACCGGTTGCTATTAAAGGGGTCGTTGCTTTCGTTCAGGGCTTGATTTCACAAGGGTTTCTTAAGAAGACCTCGGATTAAGTAGTAAAGATAGGCCGTATAGGAATGAAACTTGAATCACATCGCATTATCGGATCAGCGTCAATATAATAGCCTTCAAAGTTAGGCATAGTTGAGATTCAAGTTTGTTGGGTTGTTTTATTGCTTATCCTAGGTCAATCTTGATAAATTACACAGAAAGAATTATTTAATCATAACAGGCATCATAAACAAAGGAAATTATTCGAATTACAGCAGTTTACCATCATCAAACTTCAGGCAGAAGACACGATCCACGAGGTTGCCGGAGAGTGAGCTCGTTTAGGGATCGGAGCAGGCTTTGGTAGAGTCCAACCAAGAATTGACATGACAACCTTGGGTGCTGTTGCTATGATCGGAGCTGGGGCCGTCGTAGGTGCTCTAGCTGTGTAAGGAGCCGGGGCTGTCTTGGGTACAAATACTGTTGAGGTGCTGAGAGTGATTGAGTATGTTGGAACTGATGCTGCATTGGGGATAGAAGCAACCCTTGGGGCAGAAGATGTTTCTATGGTAGATTGCATCGTGGGAACATTTGGGGCTGACGAAGTAGCTGGTCCTTCTGGAGACGGTGCCTTTGATCGCTCTTGAGCGACTTCAGGAGTATGAGGAGATTGAACAGGTGTGCTCTTCTTATGAGTCTGAGTCTTTGGCTGGACCTTGGGCTCCATCTTTGGCTGGACACCCTTATGCTGAGCCTTAGGCACCGTCTGATGGTCGACTTTTGGAGGGTTGTGTTTGACTTCAGCTTTGGGCTTCGGTCTCGGTTGTTCCTTGACGGGCATGGCGATAGGCTCTGGCTCATCTTCCACAGTCGGGGGTGGAGCTATCGTCTTCTTGACCGGCTCAGCTTTCGGCTTGGGTTCAATCTTTGGCTCGGACTTCTGCGTTATCTTGTCTTCGAATTTGGGCATTGGGTGGGGGGTGACCTTAGACTCCTCTCTGAATTTTCTTGGGAGAATCGGCGACTCGGGTTCAGGGAGTGAATTCTTCTTTGTCGGGGGCTCCGGCAAAGGACGCGGTGCTTTCTTGGGTGTAGTGACTTTATCAAGTGGCTCTGTTGCCTTCTCAATACTCTTGGGTGTCTCGACGGGCTCAGGCTGCTTTGGAAAGTTTGTGTCGGGCAGTTTGTGTTCATCCTTGGACTCTTTGTCTACAGGTGAAGGTAACGTTCCAGGCTCAATCACTACTTCAATTTGAACCGGCATGCCAGGGCCAACAGGCTTCCCATGCTCAAGAAGCGGCTCTGAGTTGGACGAGAAGAACGGGTGAGGGGGTACCACTTCACGTTCTTTCGGTGGTGCAGTGTCATACCGAGATACAGAAGGGCGAGGCTGCTCGACATTCTCCTTTGTAGTCATACGTGAGGACGTAGAGAATCGAGACGATGTAGAAACTCGAGAACTGTCAAACGAGTCCTTGGAGAAGCCCGAGTCTGCAGGTGAAGTTGCCTCAGGGCCATCGCTGTTTGTACGCTTGAACATTCGGCCAATGCGCTTGGCAGCTGACTTGGCTGTAGGCCGACGCTTAAGAGACTTGATAGATCCAGGCATGCTGGTTTATGGTGAAACTCTCTGTCAACTGTCGATAGGAAGCTGGTGAAGATTTGTCTTGTAAAGTGGCAGGCCCGGGATCGAAGTGACAAGGATGACAGGAGTACAGCCGGCTATTGTGAGAGCTTATGGAGAGATTGTGTCGGGAGATCAAAAGACCATGCAAGTTTGGTAGGGTTCTTTATAAGTGATATGGTCAAAGAAGCACATGGACTGATAATCGATAGCCAACCAAACCAGACAAGAACAGAAATGAGACCGGCTCAGGATATCTCCGAGTATTTATAACTCAACCTCAACAGTACAACAATGTACTATCCTGTCAGATGGTAAATCGGGCCATACCGCCCCGTGGGGCCGCGGGGAGATCGTAGATGGGTGATCCATGTATGTAACTGCACGACATAAGAGCTGAAGGGCCTGTGTTCCACCTGAATCACGAATCTATAGGCCCTCGATGCTTCACGGAACGTGACATTATCTGCAAGAAGCTGGAGCTGTAAGCAAAAGGACACGTCTCCAGCGCAGGTGGTCATTGTTTTGTTTTTTATAGCAGGGAACATGCTGCCTCCGGACAACCGCTCCGGTTGAAGTCGGGAAACACCCGGAGCCGGCCGGATCGAGGCCGGGATGAGCGTTGACTGTAAGCCGCAATCACTCAATCCGACTATGACAGGACACTTGAGAAAATTACGATGGTTTTCTAAATAAATCATTCCTTTCACAAACCCTTTGAAACTGGTCATTCGACATGATATGACTCTCATATGTACAAGACACGGCCCATATCGGGAACGGGGGATTACCGTATGCAATAGAGGATGATTTATGTGTTTCAAAGCTGCACCTGCATATGCATGTCTTGCATATCAACTAATCGGAATTCTAGAATATCAATATGCTTTATCTGTGTTATATGTCGGCAACATAAACATAGACGTGCCTACGGATGCTACCCCCTGTTCTCTTCGATTTGTCATATCATGGATAGCAAAGAAATAGTGAATTGTTGACTGAGGCACGAGAGAGAAGCCAAGTGAGTTCATCATATAATGTCCACTAATCATCAAGATACACCTTGTGAAGTAACACAATTGGACCACAAGGTCCGAGTTTCACAAAAGATTCGGACTAGCATATGAAGTGAGAAAAAGATTCATGCTCTATGTTCTTGGATCTATATGTATGATGAAATATAAACAATTGAATCAAGATGTGTATGTACCAGCACCACAGCTCAACAACCCAACAACCCAACGCCATCGCAATGCATATTTACTGGTTCCAGTTGTTGAATTGCCACTTGACCTAAAAATGTTGTTAGCGATTGATCAGACATGAACATTCAAATATAAACTTACGTAGCTGGGGTTGATCTTCTGGATATCGGGGACACCCAAGTTACCAGCGTCAATGGCAATCTCGTGCTTGAGAAGGTCGATGACCTTCTTGACACCATCGACACCGAAGACGTTGGCGTACATGAAAGGACGTCCGAGTCCAACAGCCTTGACACCGAGAGAAAGAAGCTTGAGGACATCAGCGCCATATCGGACACCACCGTCAGCGTAGACCTCAATCTTCTTAAAGACCTCAGGGGCCTCCTGGTGGATCTCAAGAGCGACCTCAAGACCAGAGGGGCTGCCATCGAGCTGACGGCCACCGTGGTTGGAGAGGATGATAGCAGGAGCACCGTGCTGAACAGCAAGCTTAGCATCAGCAGCAGAGCCAATACCCTTGATGATCACAGGGAGCTTGGTCATCTTCTGGAGCTTCTTGTAGTAGTCCCAGGTGATGTAGGAGTAGTCGGAGTCAGCGGAACCAACACCGAATCGAGCAGCGCGGTGTCGGTTGCCGTCAGCAGCAGAGTCGACTGTGAAGACGATGGCAGCAGCACCAGCCTTCTCGGAGCGATCGAGGAGCTCTTGAGTCTCGGTGTCATTGGAGGTGAGGTAGAGCTGCTGGAAGACGACCTGGCCCTCGGACTTGGCCTTGGCGATCTGCTCAATGGTGAGAGAGGCGTAGAGGGCGGGCATGTACAGAATGTCGCCCTCACCGGCACCCTTCATGAGGTTAAGCTCAGCATCAGGGTGGGCGTTACCGGCCCTGGCACAAGGGCTGATGAAGAAGGGAGCAGAGAAGTTGTGGCCGAGGATTTTGGTGGGCAGAGTGTTCTCAACGTTTGTGATATCAACCATAGTTCGGGGCTTGAAGCGGTAACGCTGGAAGACCTCGAGGTTGTTGCGGTACGACCACTCGCCGGCAGCACCGTTGCGGTAGTATGTGTAGTTCTGGATGGGGAGGTAGTTCTTAGCAGCCCACTCAAAGTCAGGAAGGCCGACCATCTGCTCGAGCTTGGGGAGCTTTCCGGTGGGAAGATCGCCGACGATGGTCTCAAGACCAGTGTCGGGCTGCTCGAGGAAAGGACGAGCAGCCATGGCCCCCGAGAGGAGGGCGCTGGTAAGGATCTGGGTGCGCATTGTATTGTGATGAGAATGAGTGTGTGATGGGTAGTAAAGAGTGTCTTGAGACGGGATCTGGCTGGGGAATAAGAAGTGTTGATCAGAAGGGCGAAGCGGCTCTTTTAAGCTTTAGGGAATGAGAGTTGATGTCAAGACCGAATACTACGGAAACATGTCTTCCATGGTCAAGGTCAAGGTCAAGGTCAAGGCCATGGTCAAGGGTGTTTGCCTTGTCTTGATTAACAATGAACCCATCTGCTCTGTCTGTGTTAGTGAGGTAGTTAGTTAGTGCGACTGACATGTCAAGCCTCCTTGCAAAGTCTAACAGATGGAGATACTAACCAAGACCAATGACATCGATACGTAATGCGATGCAACGGCAGACCATGAGCCACACATCGGAGTGCCGCTGTCTTGGGTCCACTACCGAAATTGCGCCTGTAGCAGCTTCTACTCTATCTGATCCGTTTCTGTAACAGGTGAAAGAATTTTTGTATGGGCACTTGGACACTGTACACAGTAGGTAGGTAGGTAGGTAGGTATGTGATAGTGTTGGTGACAAGATACCAAAGGTCCTCTCGTTTATACTACATTCCTCTTTGGTGTTTGTTGCCCGTTATTGCCATATGGTATCAAGAATGCTACATTACTCGTCATATACGCGCATTCACAATCTTGGCAACTTGGCCCAATGCTCCGGTTCAGAATTCATCCGTTCTCGAGGCGACGATGGGATGGGGGATATAATGTGGAGGGCTACGTTGGGAGTGATACAGCATGTTTCTTGGCATGGTGATCCCTGTAGCTCATGTCATTCACACTTCGATCGCATAGTTCGACAGCGCCGAAGTTTAAAACGCGGGAGACGGTTACTAGATCGGGTATTGACTTGACTGTACAGTAGTAAAGTTGTGACAGGTTCACTTCATGGGTATAGTGGTTGGCATTAACAAAACAACGAGTCATTGAGCCCCCTTGGGCGGTCAAACCT